TGAGATATTCATAAATCATGACAAACACAATAACAAGAAAAGTCTTAAGAGATTTTAATACAACAATAATAAAGCTATGAAATAAGCTATTTTTAACAACGTATTGCTGCACATTTATTTCCTCTGGTTGGATACATCATCTTGTCCATCTTTAGTTCTATAACAGATCATTAAAGTACAGTTAGTAGCAATACAAAATCAAATTAAGCCAAGTAATAAAACCGCATAAATGTAAGCCGATTATTTTTTTAAAGTTAATATCAATGGGAATATCAACAGGAAGTTTGGTTAAACAATAAAAAAACAACAACAACAACAAATCTACTATTTTCACATTTTTTAAAGTTGGACAGAGAGAATGTCTATGAAGCGCCTTGAGGCGACATTTGTTGTGATTTGGCGCTATATAAATAAAATTGAATTGAATTGAATTGAAAAACGATCAAGAAAAGCAATAAATGTTCCCAACCAGACTAGACTGGCAGTGTTGCAGGTCAGGGATTATACTGAGGCGTATGCATGTGCGCACATAAAGAAAGAAACAGCCGCTAGATAATTTCATAAGGTGGGTAAATAGAACTAATCCAATCCAAAAGCGTTGGCCATGTAGATCTGCTTCTCAACTGCCTTTGCATCCTCTATTTTCCCTCTGTCAGCCTTCATCATTGTAAAGACCACAGCCGAAAACATAGACGTGTCCTTATTCTGGGGAAATAGGGTACATAAAGATATTAGAAATATCAAAATGTAAACAATCTTAAAAAAAATCACTTTAGATTCATGAAAATAATCTGACAAATAAATACTTTACCTTTTGTCTTTTCTGATCGCTACAATTTTTCTGCAGGACAGCGCCTTGATTATAGAACATACACATTACAATTAATTCAAATGTAAGATTAATTAACGTTTGTTTTTCATAGAGAGCTGTGAGTAACTTAAGTTACCTTTGCAATGATTACTGCTGTTTTTTCTGATCGAATAAGTGAGGACAGCAGTAACAATGAGAACGCAGACAGCGCACAGCAGAAAAATAACTATACTGGCCACCAGAGAGCAAATGCTGGTTTCTGGAATGACAATAAAAGTCAAAAACAAAGTTAGAAATGACTAAAAATAAATGTTTTATTTCTCCTCATGATGAAATTACTC